AATTCATGAAGGGCTGGGGCGCAAACGTCGGCCGCGACATCCGGGAGCGTAAAAACGCTCTCCTTCATGCCATCCAAGCGCTCGACCTGCGGGCTGACACCGCTGGCCTCTCAGCTGACAAGTGGATGCTTAGATATGATTCGGAAGACCAGCTCACGGTCATCTACTCAGACGAGGAGGCCTACTGGCGTCTGCGGGGTACTCAGGATTGGGTCCTTAAAAGGGGACGCCAATACCGCCTACTTCCAGGCCATTGCGAACGGCCGTTGACGCCGGAACACCATCCCTCTTCTTTGGGACGGAGAGTCCCTCTTGCAGAGTCCCGAGGACATCTGGGCTCATGTAGACGACTTCTACAAAGACCTATTCTCTGCTTCCCCACGGGAGGTCTTGCCCTGGCGCAAGATATTTGGCCTGCCCACAGTTGCGTTTCGCCAGCGGACAACAAGGCCCTTACGGCATCGTTTTCTGAGGCTGAAATTTGGGCGGCTATTAAGGGCATGAATCCATCCTCGGCTCCTGGACCAGATGGGCTCCCAGTGAAGTTCTTCCAGACCTTCTGGGAGGTGATCAAACCTGAGGTGATGGCCCTATTTGACGAGTTCTTGGTCGGGTCCATCGACCTCGCCCGGCTCAATTTTGGTGTAATCACCCTCATCCCCAAAGTGGCGGGGGCCTCGAAGATCAGCCAATTACGCCCGATTACGATGATTAACGTCATCTTCCGCATCCTCGCAAAGGGGTACGCCATTAGGGTGGCCCCTATCGCCGACCAGATCACTCACCCGAATCAATCGACCTTCATCCAGGGTCGTTATATCCTTGACGTAGTCCTAGTGTTTCATGAAGCACTCCATGAGGTTCACTCCAAACACCTCAAGGCAGTCTTCCTGAAACTAGACTTCCACAAGGCATATGACACGGTTAGCTGGTCTTTCCTTCGGGAATGTCTCCTCCGAAAGGGCTTCGATGATCGGTGGGTGACTAGGGTGATGCAGATGGTTTCCTCAGGCCGGACCGCGGTGAACATTAATGGGGAGATCGGCCCTTTCTTCCTGCCAGGGCAACCCCTTCTCCCTGTTCCTTTTCAACATGGTTGTCGATGCTCTGGCCGCCATCTTGGATAAGGCCAAGGCGGCGGGCCGCATAAAGGGGATAGTCCCGCATCTTGTTGGGGAGCACGGGGTCTCCCTTCTCCAATATGCGGATTACACCATCATCATGGTGGAAGGATCGGAGAGTGATATTTCGAACCTCAAGTTCCTTCTGTTGTGCTTCCAACAGATGTCTGGCCTCAAGGTCAACTTCGACAAGAGCAAGGTGATGGTCTTGGGGTACTCCCAAGACGAGCGCCAGAGTATTGCGGATCAGCTTAACTGCCAGCTTGGGAGCTTCCCCACGACTTATCTGGGGATACCCATTAGTGATTCTAGGCTCACGGTGGCCGACCTGCGCCCCACGGTGGGGAAGCTTCAGCACCGTATCGAGCCTTGGCAAGGTCGTTGGCTCTCCAAAGCAGCATGTACGGTGCTCATCAACTCGTCCCTCTCCAGCATGCTCTTGTTCATCATGAGCTTCTACAGCCTTCCGGAGACGCTTCATCACGAGATCGCCACTGTTCAAGGCCGTTTCTTCTGGGCCGGTGAGGGCGACAAGCAGAAGTACCACATGGTTAGGTGGTCAGAAATCTGCAAGCCTCACGACCAGGGCGGACTCGGGATCATGTCCTCCAAACGCATGAACATTGCCCTCCTAACTCGGTGGCTTTGGCGGATTGCCAACGGAGATGGTGGCATGTGGCTTCGCATCATTCAGCAGAAATACCTCTAAGACCAGCCTCTCGCTTTCTGCCAGTGGTCTGGGGGATCCCAGTTCTGGCAATCCGTCATCCAGCTCCTCCCAATCTACAGGATTGGGACCTCGATAGAGGTCGGATCAGGCACCGCCACCCTGTTCTGGTTCGACAAATGGTCTGGCGACTTGCCCCTTGCGGCCCGCTTTCCCGACCTATTCTCCATTGTGGTGGCCCCTTAGATATCTGTCACGGCAGCCCTTATTGACTTAGGGCAGCTCGCGTTCCGGAGGCCCTTTGGTCCGGCTGAGACCGCCAACTGGCAGGAGCTGCTTGACTGCATTGCATTGCACGCGCCTGATCTTACGACCGAGGATGACAGCTCCAGATGGCGTCTAGAGCCTTCTGGACAATTCTCCACCAAGTCCCTGTACCAGGCCATTGCTCCCTCGCCTGGGCATGAGGCGCTCACCTTCATTTGGGAGATTCGCCTCCCCCTGAAGATTAGGATCTTCTTGTGGCAATGGATCCGTGGCCGCCTCCCGTCTGGCGTCGAGGTCCTGAAGCGCAATGGCCCAGGTGATGGGCGATGCCCGCTCTGCGGGCCGGAAGAGGATTCGAATCATATCTTCTTCACCTGTGTGTCCGCACAGTTCCTATGGAGCTGTTTCCGCGAGATAGTGGGTGGAAGCTGGGACCACAACAACTTCCCCGCTCTCTTCGCCGACCTCCAGGCGATCCCACCCGCAGTGCGCCACATTAGGTGACTGTCCATTGGGGTGCTGGCCTAGACGTTGTGGACTGTTAGGAATAAACTTGTGATTCAGCGCATCCCTCTTCGTCGTGCTACTGACGCTTTGTTCAAATGGTCTGGTTACTTGCAGCTTTGGCGGCCGCTTAGCCGCCCAAGGAGAGAGACGCCATCACCTCCATCATCACCCAGCTTCGCACGATGGCTCTCCGGATGGCTCCACCGCTTCCCCCACCACCTCCGAAACCGGATTAGATCATCGTCTTCTCGCCATCGCCATAGCCACCGCCTGGCCGTTTCTCTGTTGTCTTGTCGTGTGCTTGTGTTGGGCTTGTTGTGTTGTGCCCACAACGAAACTTGGGTCTCTTTGTCTGAGTGTGTGTGTTGGACCATGCCCGCGGTGGGTTTGTGTGAGTGTGTGTGGTGTGTTGTTGTTGTGACCTTGATACTCTGTGCTTGGTGGTTGCTTTATTTATAAAGCGGGGCGAAAGCCTTTTTCGGTAATTTAATATAAAAAGTACTAGAACCATAAGATATTTTATGGGTGTGTCTAGGGCACATCTAAATGTGCTCTAGTTATTGCACATCTAAATGAGTGAATCAAGCATAAAGAGAAAAAGAAAAAAGAGAAAAAAAATATTCACACAAATCTCAATGTAAGATCAATGACATACTCCCTCCGTCTTAAAATTCTTGTCTTAGATTCGTCTAGATATGGATGTATCTAATACTAAAACGTGACTTGATACATCCGTATTTAGACAAATCTAAGACAAGAATTTTGAGACGGAGGGAGTATGATTTAGATGTGCAATACTTATGGCACATCTAGATGTGCTTTAGCAAAACTGATATTTTATAGGGCTGAGATGGCAAGTTGAGTTTAAATTTCGCAACATTAAATCTGATTATGTAACAGGATCTGAAATAGTACGGTCAGACAAGGGCCAGCAACAACAAAAAGAAGTCTAGTAACAAACATATTCCCTGTGGATCACCGGTTAGAAGTATAGAAAACATTGTAATCCATAGCAATGGTCGTATGTAGACAAACTTAGTGACGAGTGAGGATGAGAACATAAGTGGGCAGCAGAAATTACCGTGTTCTGACCAAGGGGAGCACGAAGGGCCAGCTGGTCAAAGGTGAGGCATTCTCCACCGGCATTCACAATGCGGGCCCTTGCCGTCTCAGTGAACCTGAGCGCTGCCACCTTGATCGCCGGCACCTCGTAAACTCTCTTGTCATCTGTTATGGTGCCCACGACCACAGCGATTTGGTTATCCTGCACTCCCAGAATCGCAAAGCCGAACAGGGTCATGCAGAGGTAACGAAAAGAACCTAATCACGCATCAATAAACACCAAAGCAAACGAACAGAGACCTTGCCGTCCATGAACTTGACGAGGCGACAAAGCGAGAGCGGCGGGCGGTTGGTCTTGCTCATGAAGAGGCGCTTCAGGATCACGGCATTGAACTGGCTCTTGGTCCTCCTCACCAGGAAGCGGTAGAGCTGCACGCACACGGATCGGGATGAGACGCTGCTCAAAATAAATTCCGAAATTCGGCAGGAAATGGGGAGGACTCCACCGGATCGAGGTGAACGTGTGGCTTACCTTCACCAGAAGCTTGAGGTAGACATCGTCCGACTTTGGCGCGGTGCGCTTGGTCCTCTTGTTACGGCCGCCGGCGACGAGGTCGATACCCTGCCACGAGAGAGCACAGGAGATGGGTCAGATCGTGCCCACGGTTACATAGATCAGCGTCGACAAGGCAGGCCGGGAGGCATGTTACCATGGCGGCGGCGGCGGCGGCGGCGTAGGGGTGGGTTCTAGGGTTTTGCGGGCGAGCCGAAAGAGTGAGGCATATATAGGCTCGGCGGTGGAGTCTGACTCGAATGGGTTTGTGCGCACCAGCACCAGGTCGGGAACCCCGTGTTGTGTTGGGTCCGGTCCGGTGGCTTGGAGCCTTGGATCAGATTCAGATGTTGCCGAGTGTGCGCAACTGCAGACTATGCTTTGCCCACCAGAAACATCAGCTACCGCCATTTTTTGAAAAATAAAACATCAGCTATCTCCTGATAGGGTGCTAGACATGGATCACTGCACTCGACAATATGCTGCCCCGTCAACAGCCAATATACGTCAAGTTGTTTCAATACAGGAGGCTCTTCTTGACAGTGAGTGAAGTACAGTAAGACAGGAAGGACAAAATTCAGTCATCAAAGATTGCCAGCATAGTACAGTAGTATATGTCTCGCTCCAGAAGAAATGTGGTTCGTGTTAAAATTCACGAGAAAAATGTAACCAAGAGCAAGAGCACAATGATTGCGATTACATCTTATATATTGTCTAAAATCAACAGGTTAACCAACAGAAACTGTTCAAAACTATCTACGAATATTGATCTATATTTCCTACAACTATGACTTATGCTTTCTGATTGCTGCCTACAAAAAATTCACTCGCCTTCAGCATCTTCATCAGATTCAGAATCTTGGATGATTTGGTTTGTCTTGGCTCTCTTCCTCCGTGCTAACATTTCCTCCTCTTCTCCATCAGACTCAGAATCTTGGACCATCTGGTTTGTCTTAGCTCTCTTGCTGCATGCTAATACTTCCTCCTCTTCTCCATCGGATTCAGAATCTTGGACAATTTGGTTTGCATTGGCTCTCTTCATGTGTACTAATACTTCCTCCTCTTCTCCATCGGATTCAGAATCTTGGACGGTGTCATCATGTTGTGCACTGGCCTGCAGGTTTTCATCAGCACGAACATCTGGACCTTCTTTTGCATCCTCCTCAGGGTCACTCTCAGGTGATGCGGCACTCGCTGGAGGAGAATCCCCTTCACGTTCTTCTTCTGCAGCTTTCTCCTTTGGTTGTATCCGAAAATCTCTTGCTACGCTACGCTTGGCATGCCTCAGAAGGTTCACCTTTGTGAGCTTGCTTAACTGAATTAGGTACTTCTCATAATCCTCAACCTGGAAAATAAGATCAGGAATGCATTTGCTCTCCCTTTTAATCTTCGCGAGGGTTCCTTTTTTGTGTGGTTGCTCACTCTGTAACACACAATAAAGCAAACGAGAAAACAAGAAACTATTAAAATGAGGTGATAGGAGCCATAAGCGTGAACAGTGTATTTATAGTGCCAGAGACCTCTTGAAGTGTAAAGACAAAATTGTAAAGTGGAGCAGTAAGCATCCTGCAAGTTACTTCCGCCATTTTCTGAAATTTGAGACCTGGTATGAACTGCTTGTAGCCCTTAGGTGCAATCTGAGACTTTGAGATGTGAGCCAAGAGCTTGTAGAACTTTGCAGTCAGTTTCAGAAACTGCTCTGCCTGAGAATCTGAGTGTGCAAAGGTAAAATCAGACTGAATAGAGGAATGTAACAATATAGGCGTTTTATGATACTTTTTCAACCTACCCTTAAGGCTCATATGTGTGAAAGACGAAAGAACATGAACTACTGATGTTGATCTGGAGTAGAGTGCTTCCTCCAGAAACATTCTTTGCGTCCTTTCATCTGCTGGCTGATCCTCGTCGACATTAGAAGAGCCGTAACCTAATGTCAGCATTGCCTTAAGCTTACCAAGACCCCATTCCAGTTCCATAAGAGATGACTCAACCATGTGAAGGAAGACAGCAACAAGTGAATTTTTTGTTTTACAATTGACAATGAGAAATGCCTCGGAAGAATCTACAGAGTCCTCGTCTCCGGAGGCTATTAATTTCTTCAACTCTGTTGTCATCTCATGCACAAGAATCATGTCATCTGGAGTTGTCATAAGATGGACAGCGAGTTTTACCATCTCTTGTGCGGTGGTTGGGCTTTGGACAGTATTCTTTCGACATAAGCCTGCAGCCCAATGTCCCACAAGATGCCTCTGATCAGGATGCAGTTTCCTTGATATGCCAAAAATCAGTTCAGATACAGCCTGCAGAAATGAACATGAACTTTAGTTTTTCCATTTGTGAGAGAACTTTAGATTATCTACCAAAGCAAACCATTAAGATCAAATTATTCACTTGTATCTTCCATGAGGATTATTTTGTGGATAGTTATTTATTAACACATAACATGGTATCTGGCATGACATACCTGCACATACCTAAAACAAAGAAAATAAAATCACTCAAAGACTGAGAACAGCAAGTTTGGACGGATAAGTTATCTAGAATATGAAATGTCAACTAATCTATATCATCTACTACCTCCATTCCAAAATAATTTAAGTTCTAGGTTTGTCCTAAGGCAAACTTGTTTAAGTTTGACCAAGTCTACATAAATTAAATCTAGAACATCAAATTAGTCTCATGAGAATCTTTATGAAATATATTTTTATACTATGTGTTGGTGTTGTAAATCTTAGCACATTTTTCGATAGAGTTAGTCAAACTTAAGCAAGTTTGACTTACGACAAATGTATAACTTCAATTATTTTGGAATGGAGGGAGTAGAACTGAACTGTGGCACAACTTCCACCCAAAATAACATAAGCAGGCCAACAAGGAGCATGTGCGGCTCTAGCATATAACATCTTCAATATGTTCAGAAACACATGAGCGCCTCTTTTTGCTGGATTCTCAGTCACAGTAGTGTCATTGTCAAGAAGCTGGTCAGCTTCCATCATATCCTCTATATTTGAAGGAGCCGAAGATATCAGAAGATCAGTAATGTCACTAGAACGGTCTTCTGATACACTTAGTTTAAAAAGTTCTTTAAAGCATGTCAATGCCAGATATAACTGATCCTTTTTGTTTTCAACTGTTTTCTTCCCTTGGGTTGTGTTCTTCTTGAATCCACCATTCTCTTGCTCTGAATCTAACATAAGCCACCATATGAGCTTCACAATTGGCTGCGCTAAGTTTTTTACATCTTCATACCGCGTTCTTCTTAGATTTCCAATGGCCAGATCACTTGCCTTAGCTGTAAGTGATCTGAACATCTCAAGACAGGCTTTCAGTACAAAGGATAATAGATTGGAGCTCTGATTCAATTTAGATTGGCTAGGACGCTGGCTGCCTTTATCATATTTATCAGCATGGCACTGTTTGGCACACATCACTACAAGCTCATACAAACTTGAATTCATAAATTTCCCCCTCTTTTCATGTAATTTCAGCAAAGAAGCGTTTGAATTTTCATTAGGTTCATTAGTCTGCCTATCTGTAGCACTTCTTGAATCCCCTCTTCTTCGTGCAACTTTCTCCCTGCTCTTGCTTGTTTTCCTCTCAAAGCCACTGTGAGCATCAACGAGCTCCAGTATTTCTTTTTCTAACTTCTCCTTCGGTTCATCAGCAGCTTCAGCTAGTTTTGAAGAAGCAAAATCAACAAAAACCTCAACGATTCCAGGCATAAAAACGTTATGACACTGGACTATCTCCAAAGATGAAGAAGCAGAACCAGCTTCTTGGGTCTGTCCTCGTTGATCTGTTATAAATCAACAGCAAACTGTAAGCATGAAAATATGTATCATTTAAAATAATAGGGTTAAGCACCAACGGGATGCCTTTATCACAAACCTTCTGTGAGGCATTTCCTCAAATACTTCTGGATATTTGATAATCCTTTCATGAACAAGTCCCTTGATGAGGATCTTCCAACCTGACAGTAGCATAGATTTGGAATACATTATGCTTAAACCAATTAGTTAAGGATTTCAAAATGAGCAAAGAGCAAACCTCATTATCCTGGGAAGGAGCAAAACCAAAACACTTCCAATATGCATCACGTGGTCGGTGACATTTACTATTTTGTTGAGCTCGAAGAATGCACGAGACACATGACAGTAGGCAATCCAAAGGTTCCACCATACATACTTTGGCATTCTCAACTTTAAAACATGAATCCATTTTAAGGGGGCATTCAGCATTCTGAAGCAATTTAGGCAACAGCATCCCATAAGAAAAACTTTATTTGGCTTGCGAAAAAAATGTACTTGAGTGAATCTACAGTATCAAGTGGACAGAAGTGGATACAAGAATCTCTTTGGTAGTTTTACCTCTATGTAATAGTTTAGGAAGTGAGGCCACAGGAAATCAAGGACATAGTCTGCAACATCTGGATCGGAGGTAACAATTCGAATGAGACCCTCGTACAAAACCATTTTGACTCTAGCCTGTAATAGCAGAGTAGCTATGTCAGGAACTAATATCTGCATTGCTATAGATGAAGGATAGAACAAATAAGTGGCACAGTATATCTGTAAGATACCTGCTGGGAAAGACATCTGCGAAGCAATCCACTTAATTCTTGAAAGAGTTCCACACCAACCTCTCTATGTATTTCAGGTTGCTGGCTAGAGCTCGGTTGACTTGATGAGTCTTGAAAAGGATTAGCCTCATTTTTCCTGTACTCGCTCTCTGTTACAATCAGCTCAACTATAGCATTTGTAGCGGCAATACGGACAGCATCCTCCCGCTTGAACATGGCCTTCCTTACTACCAATATTATGTAATCCTGAAAATTGATTCCACCACAATCATCATACCCCGGTTTACAACCACAAAAGCATGGAATACTGTGAAGGTCACAGACCTTGAGATCACGGCTGAACTTAGTGAGTGGCAAGATGCAATTGATCAGACCCGTCGATATCTTGTCATTCATGAAGGCAAAATAGTCCAGCAACTCCTTCAGGTGTGCAACGTATTCTAGCATTGGAAACGGATGACTCCGAACTAAGCATCCAAGCAAACTGTAGAAAAAGACAGAATTTACTAAAATAGAAAGTATACTCCGCAAGCTTTTAACGGGTTTTCGAGCTTCTGTTACCGAAGGACTGGTGCACTTTGCTGGGGCTTTGCTGAGAGGATCCGGAACTTGCATTGTTCAATTATCTGACCTCAAGTAAACCAATGGGAAAAAAGTAAGCCAATGGAAACATGCTATGTCATATTAAACGAATCAAGCAGCTAATCATAATTGACTCCCCAACAAAAAGATCAGACCGCCTTGATCATACCTCAGTGCGTGCCATTTCGTGGGTCTCAAACAACGACTTGAGCATATTAACACCTATTTCTTCAGTGCTCATAACCCCTTCGTCTGGACCATCTTCCTCCCCTGGATCACCGTTTGAGGCTTCTAACAGGAGAAAACCTACCTGAACAATGCTTGGAACGACATGCTCCCTCCCACCAATGCTCTCAGCGACCTGCATATTAGGCCCAATTTACAATCCCAAAGAAAACTAAGAATCCAAGGTAGAGTATTCTGATCATCACAGATTCAAAATACAAATTCCTCACTGCTTTCAGTAGTGCCTTCTCAACACAATGAGCAGCCTCTACACTTTCCTCTTTGAGGCCATCTGGCAACCACTTGCAGCGCCTATAAGACATTGGTCACGAAACCAGCCAATCAGAACAAATATCGATGCTAAATAGTCCCTCCGTTCCAAAATAGATGACTCAACTTTGTACTAACTTTGTACTAAAGTTGGGTCATCTATTTTGGAAAGGAGGGAGTACATCTCACAACAAATGTGTACGCTAAATACATCCCAATTAGACAACAATGCCCTCACCTCGACATCCGATAATCCCGGCGTGATGTAGTGGCAGCGTCCCGGAGCACGGCCACAGCACCGTCGTTGAACCTCCGCACGCGTGCCACGGACAGCAGTACCGCCACGGCGAATCCGTTGAGCACACCCGTGGCATTGGCCTTGACGGCGGCTACCACCTCCCTTGCCAGTGCAGGGTCCTGCTTAACCGCAAAGGCGACGTGCATCAGCACGGTGCCCTCGACCTGCCGTGCGATGGACGGCAGGGCGCGCACACGGGCGCCGTGGCGGCCGCCGAAGAAGCGGAGGAGGCCGGCGAGGACGAGCCGGGGGTGGACCGGTTTGGAGGCGAGGAGGAGGAGCTGATAGGCGAGTGCGGGGAGGTCCTGGACATCGGCGCCGGGGAGGAGGGAGAGAACCTTAGATAGGCAGTCGGGAACGCGGGATCGGAATGACACGGGGAGGTCGCGCAGGAGGGAGGCGACGGCGAGGAGGGTCGGAGACGGCCAGCTGGGCGCGTTGAGGAGGGAGGAGAAGGCAGCGGAGGCGGCCGAGGGGTTTGGGGAGAGGGAGAGCAGGGCTGGGAGGAGGGAGAGGTGGTTCGGGGGGGAGGCGGCGGAGAGGGAGCAGAGGAGGTCGGCGAGGGCGTCTGGCGGGAGAGCGGGTAGGAGGGGAACCGCGGTGAGGGGTCGCGGGAGGCGAGTTGGAGGACAGATTCCACGCTGGACCGTGGGGGTTGCTGCGACGAGGGAGGGCCATCGACGGCGGCCGCCGACATCACCGTCCAAAGGCGTGGCTGCCGGCGGGGAGTTTGGGGGTTCGGGCGGGAAGCGGGTGGGGTTTTCGCTCGCCTTCCGTGACACGAGAAGGTTTTTCTTTTTTCTTTTGTGTGTGTGTTTCTGCACGCTGTGAGAAATGATCCTGCACCTTTAGGGCTTGTTTGGTTCGACGTTATCCTGATCGGCAAATTTCACAGTTTTGATCTGTTGACGAAATCAATTCACATAATGAACTGCCCGTAATTCACATAATGAACTGCCCGTGAAACTATTTCACTCTTCTTATTTTTTTGTATAGCGCCCGTCACGCAGGCGCCACATCCTACGGTGCAACGTCCAGTTCAGCGGCGTTGCACGCCAGTCCACCGTGGCAGCCCCTGGGCCTGCACCCAGCAGTGCAGCGCCTCCGAGCTAGGCGCCGCACATATGCAGCGGGCACTGCATTGTGACTTATTCACCGCGGCGGCCCTCTCCTCCCCTCCCCCACCCCATTGCACCACCAGTTACAGTTACAGAAACAGCATAGCCGCGGCGGCGGCCCTCTCCTCCCCCCTCTCAATCCCCTCTCCCAAATTCTTCAGATCTAACGATTTGGTCCGTGGATTCCTTCACCAATCCATTCTAGAAGGTACTCTCCTCCGATCTCTTTCTTTCTATCCATAGAATGTATGATATTTTGAAGATTTGGGGAACCCTTATTTGAATCTTGCATGTATTAGATTTGGGGAACCCTTGTTAGATTAGAATGTTGCATGTATTAGAATCTTGCATGTATTAGATACCTAATTTAGCAACCCTAGTTTAGTATATTTTATTAAAAAAATGGTTTGGATACATAGGTTGACATGTTATTTTATATGGAAAAGATATTTGTATTAAATCTTGCATGAAGTAGGCCTAGTTTAGTTTATTTGTGTTGAAATTATATTTGTGTTGACAAGAATGCTTTGGATATATATGCTTTGAATTTTGTATGTACTAGGCATACTTTAGTTTATTTGTATTCAAAAGATAATCGTGTTGACAAGAAAGTTTTCTTTTAAAATTGTTAGGATGGTTTGGCTTCTCGATGATCATTGGAACAAACAACACCGGTCGTATGCTATGGCGGTGGAGCAGCGGGTAATAATGAAAGTGGCCGGTTTTATGAATTTCGTGTTTATTTCAAACACAAATGCCCCATATGTAATGTTATGATTTGTTTGTTTGTAGGAGCTTGCACCTCTGAAGCTTCGTTCTCACGGGGTCACCCTTGGGTGGATGCGCTATGATGAGCGATACACACCGTATGTAAGGGAGACAGGACTTCTCCCTTTCATTCAGATGGTCAGACGGTCGACGCCACCCAACAATGCTCCAGCACTCACCGTTCTTATTGATCATTGGAGGCCGGAGACACACAGTTTCCATCTTCGGACCAGGGAGATGACCGTAACGCTTCAGGATATTGCTATGATCACCGATCTTCCTATCAATGGGAATCCTCTATGTATGAGCATTGATTCTGATGGGTGGCGCGCGCAAATGAATGCCCTTATCGGTATGGTTCCTCTGGAGCCTTGGGAACCAGCAACAGAAGACAAGAAGAAGGAAAGAGTCGCAGTCAGTGCTCCTTTCACGTGGATTACTGAGCACTTTGGTACTTGCCCTCAGGAAGCTAATGAGGACATGGTCAAGACATATGCTCGTGTCTATATGTGGTACGTGATATCCAGGACTATGTATGCTGATGGCACAGGCAAGAATGCTCCATGGATGTGGCTGAAGGTGTTGACCGTCTTTGATAGCAATTGGAGTTGGGGTTTGGCGACACTGGCTTACTTGTATAGACAGGTATGAAGTTGTTTCTTTTTCACTTCATTGCTACACTATAAATGCGATCTTGCTCTTAATTTAACCATGTTCTCTTTTATGTGCAGTTGGACGAAGCCTGTTGTAGGTCATCTGGAGGTATTGGTGGTTGTTTGCTCGCACTTTCCATATGGAGCTGGGAGCGTTTGCCGCTTGGACGCCCGAAGACCGTGAAGTACGAGGATTGGGACAACAAAAGCAACCCACTATGGCTCCCCACTTGGGCTTACAAGTGGGATGTGTTAAATGAGACGACGGATGATCCCTCGGTCATGTACAAGTTGTACCAGAGTGAGCTTGACGCGATCATGCCTGAGCAGGTGAATCGACATTGCATAAGTGATTATGATGCTTCTATTGCAAGTCGATATCAATTTTGCATTCTATCCCATTTTGCAGGTGGTATGGGAGTCATATGGAACAGGAGACAGTTTTGGTAACTCTATAGAGTTCAGACTGAATCCGATGTGCACTAGGGATAGGGATCTCTGGCGTATGCGGTGCCCACTCATATGCAATTGGGCGGTTGAGCTTCACCTCCCACATCGAGTGTGCCGTAAGTTTGGTTTGTTCTAGGCACACCCATCGGAGTGGGAGGACACGGACAAGTTGCTACACGCGTAAAATATAATTAACCTTGAGCACTTAGCAGCTTCTCAGCGGTTTCGATGGTGCTAATATTCTGTTTCTAACTTGCAGGTTGGATAGGAAAAGGCAGCGGAAGATCAAGGATTGGGACAAGCATCACGGGAACTATGTCGTACAGTTCGCGCTTAGTGTGGAGCAAGCTAGGGCTGGAAAATGAGCCCAGCTTCGTGAGCACTGCCCGATCGCGTTCAACAACTATCTCACATGGTTTCTTGCAAGTACCCGTGTGGAGGTATGCAAGCCGGCGTATGCTGAGGAGATTTTGGAAGAACCCACTGTTTTTTATGAGGTAGCGCAGCACCAGTACAACGCATTAGTCAGGAAAGGCAACTCAATGATCCCTTCAGCTCCAATGATGAACTTTATGGTATTTGCCCTCTTTGCTTTTCATTCACACTATTCACATCTTCGCTTGCCTAACACGTTAACACCGTTTCTGTTCATAGCGTGCCTAGATCAAGAAAGCAGTTGATGAGACCGAGACTATTCTTGAAACAACCCCGGCTGGCGAAAGCGATGGGGAAGGTGCACTTCGAGCATTCATCAAGGTTCACATCTCCTTCAAACTAGCACTTAACATGTGTTGCTACGTTCGATGTCTCATTCACTTGTACATGTTGCAGCGCCAGGGCCAAAAGTTAAGGCGTCTATCAATCCTTTTCGGTTGTCGTGACCCCGAGTATGTATCACCAGAATGGTCTAGGTCAGCGACACCATCAGATCCCGCTTCGGGGAAGGGCCATGGTGATCATTTGGAGGATGAGGATGTGGGTGTGGTCACCCAAGAGGTATGGCATGAGCATAGATATCCAATTGTTGATGCATTGCTAACTATATCCTCACACATTGTCTTTCCATATCTTTTGTTGATGCATAGGTTGCTGATGATATGACCTTGGGGACGTACCAGGTTAGGTCTGCATACAGGTTAAAGCCTAGGACGGGGATCAACAAGTACACACCTGAAGACTTCACCCAAAGAGGCAAAAGGATGGTCGGCACCTCGCGGATGGCGGCTTTGGATGACTATTTGGATGACGATGTGGATGACGTGGAGGAACCGGAGCCAGAGCGGGAGCGGGTTCCTCTTCCTAGGAAGGTGAAGAAGTTAGCTAGCAAGAGGTGGGAGCAACCAAAAAGTGCTCAAGGAACTAGTCATCGTCCTCTATTTGTAATGTTGAACTTGAAGTGGTGGTAGCTTGTAGTAATGTGGAACTTGTTATGTCGGTGAACTTGGAGTGGTGGTAGCTCTATGTTGAACTTGATCCTCTTGTATGTCTTAGTTATGTTGAACTTGGAGTGGTGGTAGCTCTATGTTGAACTTGAAGTCATTGGTTATCTTAGCAATGTTGAACTTGTTGTCTTAATAATGTTCAACTGTGACTGAAATGTTGAACTTAAAGATCCTGACTGCTTGTTCTAGGAAATGTTGAACTGTGCCTGAAAATGACCCAGTTTGCAAGTTACAGCCGTGCAACGCCTAGCCTGGAGGTGCCACACTAAGCAGTGCAATGCCTAGCTCCAGGGCGTTGCACTGCTCAGTGTGGCGCCTCCAGGCTAGGCGCTGCAGCGGCTGTAACTAGCAAACATTTTGTTTGCTCTTTGTTTAGCTCATCCCAGGAGTGTAATGCCTCAGAGCTAGGCGCTGCACTGTACAGTGTGACGCCTGGCTCTGAGGCGTTGCACGCCTGGGATGAGCTAAACAGAGAGCAAACAAAGTGTTTACAAGGGCGTTGCACTACTCAGTGGGGCGCCTCCAGGCTAGGCGCTGCAGCAGCTGTAACTTGCAAACGTTTTGTTTGCTCTCTGTTTAGCTCATCCCAGGAGTGCAACGCCTCAGAACCAGGCGTCACACCGAGCAGTGCAACGCCCTGGAGCTAGGCGTTGCACTTGTACTTAGCGAATTTTTTGGCATATGCACACATATTCCGATGATGTGAAGTAGGATT